AGATTCCTGAGCCTACTGGGCTTTATCATATCTACATTTGAAACTGTGTATCGAGTCAGCCTCCACCACATCACTGCCTAATTCATTCCACCTCTTAACTACTGACACTGAAAAAGTTATTTCTAACGTCCCTGTGGCTCATTTGGGTACTCAGGTTCCATCTGTGTCCCCTTGTGCGTGTACCACCCGTCCTTAAACACCCTACTATCATCCTGCCCTCACGGTCAGCAAAATATAAACTGAGAAACAGTTTAGTTGAATGTGGGACAAACAGTGGTCGTCTCGCAGGCATTTGATGAAACAAACGTCCTTTGTGTTTGAATTAAATATTTACGAAATGTCCTAAATACATGGCCGAAAAGTGCCATGGTCCACCAAGAGTGTAGCCTCATCTCCGCCGCTCATCTGGAAAAACGTTAAATTAAGCGGACGGTTTTTTTTATCACTAAGCAAAATGAAAGCACATTCAGTCCAATAAAATGCCACAAACACATTTGGTGTGATATGGAAATTCAACATTTACATTGATGATGACCTGATCAGTTAGCGTTCTGAGTAAATACGCCTTGACATATATTTACTAGAAAAGTATTAAGAGAAGAATTGGAACGAATACCTTGAATTATAAGTAAACTTTTTTTTAAATTAATTTAGCAATCTAAAAGAATTAAAGTGCAATTTAGATAGTTTGAAATGTTTTAAAACGAAGGTCGGCGCGTAATGAATGAAAAGATTGGTGTCAGCAGGTTGTTAGTGACCGCTGGCAAGGTCATTATAACCTGTTCGGCTTATCAGGGTTTATAACAATACAATTTAAAAATACAAATTTAATAAATAGTACTTTACCTTTCTAAGCAATGAAAATGTAAACGTTAAATATATAAGCTTTGGTTCACATAAAACAACAAAAATGGGATAAGGTTTAAAGCCTCGAGGGGTCGAGGGGGGGGGGGGGGTGTTACTGTATGCCGCATGCTAGCAACATTTGCTAACATGCTACGGTGGGCACGTGTGCCATAGGTTGGCTTCCCCTGCCCTAGGCCAATTGACGTTCCCCAGGTTGCATTCCTGTGTACGTATTTACTATCAAGTAAACAGAGGCATCAACGTAATTGTGAAAGGAAACAGCCAACCGTTTGTCCTTTGTGGGGATTGAACCCGGGTCCCTTGGTTGTGAGACAAGGACCTAAACCTGTAGTCTACGGCTAGGCAAAGTACCAGGTAACATAAGACATGAGATCGCTGCAGTGTTTCAAGCGTAGGTTTGACATATGTGTGAGTGAGTTTGGGTGGATATAAACAGGAGCTGCCTCGTATGGATAATAGGCCTTCTGCAGTTACCGTTATATTCTTATGGTCACCCTGATCTCCATTAGTTGTAGCAATCACTTTATTTCGCCACCCGTGTTTCGTGTTGTGAAGCAGCTACATACCCGGGATGGCTGCCTTGAATCTGCCTGAATCCTCGTGATGTTTGCGGCGCCAGACGAAACTGTTTACAAACATTTCTTGTACGAAAGTTTAGGTCGAGGAACCTGTGCTAACTATGTATAGTGTGAGCTTTCTCAAGGACGCAACCAACTTACGTATCACCCACTCGAACCAAATTTATTTTTACTTAGTCAGACTTGAGAAGTTTGAGATGGTATTGCCCTTGACACCTGTTGGCTTGTGTGTAAATATCAGTCATGTTTCACTGTGCTGGTATTAGCTTTCCTTGACACTGTTATAATTGGCAGCTCGCTAAGACGACACATTGCTTATCTAGGTACATCAACTTTGCTCAGCCTTGGTGACATTTCACGTGTGTGTTAAGGGAACTTTTAATATTAACTCCCTCCCCCCCAGCACACCACGTAGTCCCCTCACCCTCTGCTTCACCTATAGTGACCATTAACAAGGCACAAGTCAGTTACCTTATAGCTTATGTTTCCTCCTTATAAAATACTCTAAAGTTACTTCGTGTTTTTCATACTAATAAGATTCATAATGAATCATCTTGAGAGATTTAATTAAAATGGTTCGATGAAAGATACTTAATATTGTTTAGATCTCCACTGAACTAGTGGCACATTTGCAGGGAATGAGCTACTGCTCTTGGGTCCCGCCTATGCATCGAGAATTGTTTTAAGAAGTCGGTCAAAATTAAATACATTGTTACTCTGTATATTCAATATAATTCATTGAATTGTGTTGAATGTACAGAGTAACAATGTATTTAGGTTTGACCGACTTATTAATTAAATGTTCATTGTCTTATTTAAGTCCGAAACATAATGATTCTGTAGATGAACATTTAATACAACTCGCTGTTTGGAGCCTTTCCTGTCTACTCGAAAACTTAACAACACATACAAATGTACATATATTTGTTTAAAAGCGAGAAGAAAATATGCAGCTTACCATCTTGAGATGATTTCGGGGCTTAACGTCCCCGCGGCCCGGTCCTCGACCAGACCTCCTTTTTTGTTACACATCCCCAGGAAGCAGCCCGTAGCAGCTGTCTAACTCCCAGATCCTTATTTACTGCTAGGTAACAGGGGCATCAGGGTGAAAGAAACTTTTTGCCCATTTGTCTCCGCCTCCACCGGGAATCGAACCCGGAACCTCAGGACTACGAACCCGAAGCGCTGTCCACTCAGCTGTCAGGCGCTGGGTGGAAAGTTATGAAAGTTAAACCATGCCATGGTTTAATGGGTATTTCAGAGTATCATTTGTGAAAACGTAATATTCGATTTCTCTTGAGTCTAGAGCCTTTGCCACGATTGTTGACCTTCATAACACATCTTGAAAGGAAAACGGGACTTATTGCTCGCATCTGAACCACCCTCGTCTGTGCTACAATATGAGGAGCAAGAATGAGGTTGTAGATGCAGACGGAGATCTTGGAGAAGACGTGAGGAGACTGCACGTCCATAATTATGCTTCATGCAGCTAATATTGGCAAGTTATCCTATTATCTTTTTATTAAATATATGCAGTGATATTAGTAAAACCATTAAATATTGTAGTGAACTTTTTGTATTAAAATATATTGCCGTGAAAAGCGTATGAGTGAGTAAACAAAATATTGGGCTACTTTTATTAGTCTCGTTACTTTTCGACCTCCAGCTCGCTACTTCAGCACTTCAGATCTGGCGACACTGAGCCCCCACCCCATTGATGAAGATGAAGCCACCCAAGAGGTGGCACGGGCAAGAATAGCCCGGAAGTTCACCCTCCCCGGGAGTGTCACGGTCCTCCCCCCTCACCCCCGTACTTGCAATAGTTATTACCGCTATTCTGCCAGGATTCCTTGCAGGGAAAGGGGGGAGGGGATTATATAAATAAATAAATAAATGTTATAATATATATATATATATATATATATATATATATATATATATATATATATATATATATATATATATATATATATATATATATATATATATATATAACTTTTAGACACCCACCAGGAGACTCGAACCCTGGCCATTAAGGTGGCAGGTATGCACTTGTATCCATTACACCATACTCAGAGCCCTAAAGAGGTGGGAATTCCGGGGTATTTAAGCCCCCCCAGATATCTCCCCTAGATGGCCAGGGTTCGAGTCTCCTGGTGGTTGTGTGTCTAAAAGTTCTATACTTCAAACTTGTGGATAGCGTGCGTCTATCAGCTTCCCAGGAAGTACAGGGCATTGTCATCTCTAATAATATCTTGGACTTTAGCCAAATTCTGAAAGGGCACAAGAACCTTAGTCTCTCAAGGACTGAAGTCCTTGCATGCTGCAACATGGGGGAGGTTGACTGACACTGTCAAATTAAACTTGCATCAATCGCAAGTTTAAGCCGTCGTTGGAGGGAAGGCGTGTCATCACCGCGACAGCATAGGGTAAGATCGTCTTGAATGTTAAAGATACCGCCTGTGAGTGGAGAAACTGCCTCTCCTCAGTGGTAGAGGGTTATTAGGGGCTATACCCCCCCTCCTTTTGGTGTGCGCATCGCGTACAAGGTGTAACAATTGGGCACGGATGTGTCAATCAGCCCTGATAGGACCTTTGTTGTGACAGGAAGTCAGCAAGAAATAGGGTCAAGGTTTGACTGGACTGGATAAAGGTGAACATGATAATGACCCGTTCACAATACTGTATTTGTGTTGTCTGAAAGTCTTCATGGTTTAATTACAAACCCCTTCTCTCTCTCCTCTGGTTTTGTGCCTTTGGACGACTTGCACTGCCTGTGTAACACACAATTATAAAACTTGTGTGTGCCGTTGACCAACTTGCGCTTAAAATTCAATAGTAAACATTCACTTCAGGAACTTGTGAAACTTGTGACTACGGTACTTGCTAGATAAAAGTTCTACATTATACAGGCTTCTTTAATGCCATATTGTTGTACATAGGAAACATTGCCTAATAGTTAGTATGATTATTTATTGATTAGCGTTTAACGCTTAATACATAAATTAGTCTAATCCATCTATCAATTATATAATGGATTAAAGTTTTTTTAATTCAACTCTGATATTAGACATAATCATAATACAGATAATGCCTAGACAGTCTGTCAGTCAACCTCCCCCATGTTGCAGCATGCAAGGACTGAAATTCAGTGTTTTGAGAGGCTCTAAGGTTCTTGTGCCCTTTCAGAGTTTGTCTAAAGTCCAAGATATCATTAGAGATGACAATAGGAGTGCAGAAAGACAGGCAAAGATGAGTAATGTCAAAGAAATCAAATTCATAAGGTTTGTATAGCAGTACACGTGAAAAAAAAAAAAACTTTCTTATCCAGTGATATTATTACCACTGTAAAAGGACAAGCTCTATTGCTAAATTTCAGACTTATTTGCCCACTATATTGTTCAGAATATACCTAATGTGGAGTAATATGTACATATTAAATACAAGATTAAAGCAGGATACACAGAATAACACTAATAGTGGCATCCATATAAATTTAACTCTTAAAAGAATAAATTTTATTTTGACTAGAAAGGCTGAATAAAACTAATCAAATATTGTCATTCATATTATTTTACATGATCTACAAAAAGAGCGAGCCTCAACTGGGACAGTAGAGCTCGTTGTCTTAACATGGCACCCACGAGGCAGAGTAAGGGAGGAAATATTGGCTGAGGCTGTGATAATTGCATAAGTGATCTGTAGGAAGATATTGCATCACCTGTGAGGGGTAACCTCATTATAAACAATAAAAAATTACTTGACAATAATTATTCTTTTTGGGGTGAATTTGTATTTTTCACCCCACCCCCCCCCAAAAAAAAAAAAATAAAATAAAATGGGTCTAAATAATATATTTCACTCAAATTTAATAGATCTATACAGGTGCTTGCTCATCACTAACAATCACCGACACGCACACAACTTTTACCAAAGGTTCTTGGTTACAAGTACCTACAGCAAATTAACTTGATACAGTATCTTGTTTGATGAAGGATAATTTATTTTTGAGTAAATGTGTTAGTTACTGTATTTCTTAAAGCCTTCAAATGGCCAATTTAAGGTTATATTAATTTAAAATATTCTACTTTAACAGATACTATTAGTCTTTTTCAGATCATTCAAAGAGTCATAAGTCATTTATCAGTTCCTAGTACTGTATGTGGCAGTCATAGTTAATAACCTAATGTGATAAAAATACTATCTTTCTAAACTTTCTAAATTTTGTGCAAATCTGCTAAAGAAAAAAAAAGCCAATTTAATTTATTAGTATACTGCCTTTTCAATTATCTTTCATTTATAGCAATTATATCAAAGTATTAATACTCACTACAGTATTTATATTCTAGTTATTCATTTCATCTTCGTACCCATTTTAATGTTCTATGAACTTTAAAAAAAAGTAATCAGAATATTGAACAAATGGCAGGAAAGTTATCTTCCCAAAACGTTTCTGCCCTGCAGTTGTGATAAGACTATATAGTAGTCCCACCACAACCTTGTCAACATTTACCTGCCAAATATATAAAGTTCACCAAAATAGGTGTTAAAAATAAAAATGTAAATAATTTTAAATTAGGAAAAATGGTAACTAATAAATTGGTAGTTTAATCAGATCTTAAACGTATGGAAGATACTTAAGTCTCCACAAAATCATATTTTAAATTATCTGGTAAAAAAAAATTAGGCAAGCATTTAGTATAAAATGCTTCAATGTACTAATCAATAATTAGTACTAAAACTAAGCAATGTATTGGGTATCAAAATTGTCTCCAAGAAATAAAAATTCATAGGATATTGTATAAAATGTATTCATACATTTTGAACACCCAAAATTTATTTAACAAGTTATGATCATATGATTGTTTTAATACAGTATTTACAACAGGGAGGTATAATATGCCCTCGCTCGTACCACAACTTTGTATTGCTTCCTTCAGTGATCATCTATGGGCTGATCTTTCTGACAAATGTTAACATAATTATCAACAGGAAACTGGCCTGTATTCTGGAAATAAATGCCTAAGAAATGGTGGCCCATTACTTGAGCAACCCTTGGTGAAACTGGGCAATGATACAAGCACTCCTACTACCATGTATTAATTTATGGCACACAAATGTAACACCATTTGGGTACTGTGACTCTAGCATGTTTAAATACCAACAATGGAACAAAATACCCAGTATTCACCTTCAAATGTGCATAATCCCTCATTAACACTGGTGAAATACATATACAGTACAATTAACATTAATGCTGGATTACAAGATATTATCAGACAGGAATACAAAACACTGGATAATTGATGGAAATAACTTACAATATGTTTATCGTGCATTCAAGTGTTAAGACACTGTGCACTCCAAATTCAGATCTAAGACAATGCTTATGGTTTACTAGTTATCAAGAGTAGCTACTGAGATGGGGGCCATCATACCCACACTTTTTTTCAGTTAAAATTTAATTTTAAATATTCTTACAATTATATGTTTATAATGCAGTGTAAGATACACAATCACAAATCTGCTAATCAAATAAATTTTGATTGTTCTTTAATTTTTTTGAATTAAATTAGAAAAAAGACATCAAAACAAGCCAGCCATGTAAACTTAATACCTAGTGCCATGACAAAAACAAACAAGTACCATGTACTTACTAAAATGTCTTAATTTTGAACTGATAGACCAGGTAATAAAAACTTGTATGGCTATATTTGTACAAGACGGTTTCATACTGTCTTAAAGCTCACTCATTATTTGTCTAGGCATACCCAAGATGACAGACTGGAGATAAAAAAAAAAATCCCCATAAGCATAGATATATAAATGAATCTGGTAAACAATTCTTATTCTCTGGCAATGAAAATTTACAAAATACATTAAAATAAATTTGATTTACTGTAGTGTATTTACTTTTCTGATGCATTAGGGAAAGTTCCTTCATTATTTTCCTTTCAGAGTACCTAAACTGGACTCTTACTACACAATATTTAACAAAACCCACTTTAAACTGTACATATCAGTCAAGTAATCCTAGTTATGAATATTTACTAATGAGAAAATGAGTTTTAGGATCCACAATTTTATGCAAAATTCATAATGCCTAAGGAAATTATCTAAATTTTAAGCAATTGAAAACCTGTCGCCATACAATGTACTGTAATCGGTACCATTTTTAACTGCAGAGTTGGCCATGCAAATTTTAGCCTAACAGTGAATGATTTGGGATTTTAGGAGGAAGGCTTCTCTTGCTTTGTACTAAAAATCCCAGTCCCATTATATGCAGGAGAGTCCTTGTGCATCAGTACCTCGTATATTAGAGAGAAAGAGAAATCTTTCCAAGTTTGGGATACAGCTTAATAACAATTATTTACTTCACAGAGAAGGTTTTTGTATTAGAAATGGTACATTAGGAGAGCCATTGCACTGTTTTTACCTTGTGTAGGATACTAAAGCACTGTTGACATCTGCTAGACATGGGAGGGTCAGTAATTGTGTAAACAATGCTAGAAAGCTATCAGGTAGATTACAAGTACAGTAACTATAAGGAACTTTTTTCATGTGAATCATAAATATCTACTGTACTGTATTAATTTATCAATCATTGTTAAAAAAAATTACCTGGTAATCTATTCTGTAACATCTGTATTCTAATTTAATTAATTCTGTGAATGATGGGTAGGCATAGTACACAAATAATACCCCTCTTGGTCTGCAAATTGAAGTAGGGCATTAATATCCAGCTGGATCTTCACATACAGGTAATCCATTAAATTGTTAAGTTTTCAAGCATATAGTGAAACTAATAAAGAATTTATTAGTGTCTAAATGCAACTGGATAATAAATGCCATGATCTACCTGAGATATGAGCAAAACAGTTGTTGAAATAGGTGATAGGACCATACTGTATAGTACTGTAGTGTATTTGGAATAACATGGCAGCAATGATTCCATATTATATACTTAAGCTATATAATATATATTGTGATAGAATGCTTGCTCGAATGCATCTTGGTAGGCTTAAAAGTATTAGCTCGCAAACATTTGAGACCATATCAAAGTAATAATCAGTAAGTGCTATCAGGATTGTTATATAGTACCTCTGGAATATTATTGTAATTGAATCGTGTTCCTTAAAAATATTGTAGCCTTCTTCCCCTGTTTTTTTATTCTCAAACTGTTTTAACATTAAAAGCTTCAGAGGCTTGGGCTTAAGAACATACAGGAACAAGCAAAAAGTACATTGATTCCATTCTCCTCTTTGATATTCCTCATAAATATCTAAAGATTTTTCTCAATAGATGTAGAAAAGGTTATTATTGTTATACATTTATTATTCAAAATACAGTACATTGCAAATTTCAACAATATACAGTATACTTTATATTGTTTCTAGAAAGAAAAGTCTCCAGTGTTGCAAACACACACAAAAACCACTTGGAGAGCTGGAAAAGGTTGTTAATTTAAATTTAATTCGAGCAAGTTTCCACTGTAAACATAAGGTACATATATATACACACAATTTAGTGTGTATTTTATATATATATATATATATATATATATATATATATATATATATATATATATATATATATATATATATATATATATATATATATATATATATAATATGTATTGAATATATTATATAAATCCATAGCATGTATGTATATAATTGGAGGACTAAACACTGCTGCCAAGGTCACCTTTCAAGTCATAATAAAAAGTGGTATTGTCCATATGATTTTCTTTCCCTGCAATATTAAGTTGGTGGATTTCATGATACATGACCTATAGAAACATCTTTGGCATACTCCTGATTTGTTTTGTGGGTAGAAAATATATTTTCTACCCACAACACATTAGCAAAAAGTTTGTGTATATGGAAGAATGGCTTGCATTTAAAGGATAGATGTTGTACGGGAACAATACACAAATCACAGTAAAGTCCTATACACTCATCCACAGATGAGTTGCACATCTATACACACATCTACAAAACTACAATACAATAAATTTATGATATTCACTTGACATGCTTCCATTTTTGGGCTAAAGTCATTCACACCAATTTCTAAGTTATAATACATCTCTAAAACCATTTTTCAAGTAATTGATCCATTAATAATACATTTGAATGCAATCCTATGTAATGTACCTTGTTAATCTCTGTAGTATCCAAAACCTGAAAAACTAGAATTTTGAAGAGTATGATATATCACTCATTCACAATATATCATAATTAGTAACATGCTTCCTTATAGTTAACCAACCTGTTATCTTTGATTATTTTGTAGTCCTGAATTTAATGAAATTAAGATTTTAAAATTATGAAATAAAGTTTGGGTTGCAGTTTATTACTCCATATTCAGAAGGCAAAATTCCAGAGATGGTATATGCCAGACTTTATCGTGCTCAATATGGCATTCAAAATACAGTAAAACTAAAAAGCCAAGATAATTTTTTTTAAAATGTTATGTAGTATAATTAACATAAAATAGCCACATTTAATGACTACTATTGCTAATGGCATAACCAAGGGCATTCACTGTAGCAAGAGTTTGTCCATCTAACATGTATACTTTGTGCAGTAAACCCCTTCCATCTTTATGAAAATATAGTTTTAAAACTGGAGGAACAATGTTATGGCACCATTTCTTAGACCATCGATAAAATTTAGAAATTATTAGACCAAAAAAAGTAACTTACGTGCTCCAAAATAATTATCTTTAACCCATCATGTCAAACGGCTCTATGCAACTCTGAGGGAGATATTAAATGGATAAAATACCATAATTAATTTATACAGGACATTTGATGCAGATAAAAGTTAAGCAATGTATTTAAACCATGTTGAATTTTCATGCCTCTTGTACATGAAGGAATTAGTCAATAGGACAATTCAACATCTGGCACAAGATTGACCACAAAGTCTGCAGATATAATACAAAGTTATTTCAGTAACCTTAATCAGTACTGATAAAAAAAGCTTAATATACAAATGATTCCACTTGGTAAATTAGATTTGTGTGTATACTTGCCTCAATGTGCTTCGTGGGGATTGAGCTTCGGCTCTTCAGTTCAGCCTCTCGACCTTTAATCTATTGGTATACCAGTCGGAGATGAATGGGCCCTTGTTCAATTAAAAATTATGAAATGTCTAATTAGTCATTTTGTATTTGTTTACACTAAATAGCACACTTAAAAGAAAAATTGCCTCTGTAGCTCATTTTGGGACTGTATTTTGATTCCATGTGTGACTTGTTGCTATAACTCCTATTCCAAGCAACAAACTCTAGTCTACTGCTATACCTCTGGAGACACGCTAGCTTCTTGCAACGAGATGAGGACAAATTTTGGAATATGGAGCTCCAGTGTAGTCTCTCCCCTCTAATAGGGAATGATAGATTTTGCAAGTAGAAAGAAAGAAATGACAGACCTCCAAACTGATGCATTAGTGTTCCAATAAGGCTACAGGAAACATGTTTAAAGAACTTCCAGCTCCCACACTATAGTTACAAAATAAAAGTACCCACATACAAAACTTGCAGAACCAATGTGAAAAGACCTGGCCATAATCATGTTGGAAGACTTTACTTATAAAGAACATGGAACAGCTGGCACAACTGCAAGAAAAATAAGCTGGACAGAGTAATTATATTAAAAAAAACAAAAAAAAAAAAAACAGGAAGACTGCAGAACCATCCAGGATATGCAAAAAGTCCTAAATATCACTCTTGGATGGTGTCACAAATATGGCAGTTTTTTGTTGGAGGAAGATAGGCAAAATGCTAAATATTTTTCAGAAAGTGGATGAGTTGTTGGAATCAAAACTACAAGGAAATGGCAGTAATGTTGTAAGGAAGCTGGAATCAAAACATTTACACATTGATAGGGACATGGTACAAGGAGTCGGCAGCCAATAGGCACTACTGACTCAGCCTGGGTCATTGAGTAAAGTGTGTGGGGTTCCAACTCACGAATAGTCTGTCTTCCTGTTCCAATCTTATCAGGAGACAAGTTTCCTGTTCTAACTTCTTACACGACATGATTCTTGGCTACCACTAGTAGTCATACAGCCATATCTACTCTCCTGTATACTGGAGGATGTTACAGCTAACTGAAAAGACTTGACAGCCTTTGATTTCTAGTGCAGAGTTTGCTAGGACTGTGAAATGTGAATCTGTGTGTATAAAGGTGTTCAGTACATTGTGATAACTATTTACACTAACTTGTATATATTTGTACACTGATGTACTGAAGCTTGGATTAAGATGTGCCAAATATAGCCACCACCAATATTATATATAATATATATATATTATACTGTATATATGTATAATATAATGTGTGTTCTTTAAATGCCTGATGAAATTACCAACTTGGAGATTAATTTAATCCCTGCACTTCTTTGAATAATAAGTTAAACCAAAATCAACTGCACCTTGTTTAAGTAATTATCAAAAGAAGGCACCAAGCGGGCAGATTATGTAGCACTATCAGAATCACTAGATATCACAAGTGATGCCAATACAACAAAAGCACACAAGGCGAGTGATATCAAAGGTATCAAATTCACAAAGGAGTCCACAGATGGACAAATGACCTCAAGGGACATTAGGAAAGCATGACACATGATTGTCCTGACAATTGGAATATTTCTAAGAGTGGCATGCATAAATGGAGCAATGAGATGGGAGGTTCAGTGCCTGAAAGTTAAGCATGTGTGGTCACTGCATAACCTATCCAGAGCAGTTTCCCACCGCTGATTAGTGGTAGAAGAAAAGCAGAGGGAATGGGCAACCTTTTAAGGATGCGCACTTCATTACTTATAACACCAGACCAATGACCCTGCCAGTGGTCATGGATTGATTGAACAACTGGTTAGAAATCTAAAGGAATTCCTTGTTGGGAAATAGGACAAGTGTGGATAGCCTCCTTAGTGGCAACATCTTTGGGTCATTTAAGTCAATACCAATAAGGCTAAGAACCCAGCAAAACTCTATCTTAAATATGCTAGAGACAAGTAACTGCCAATATAGGATTTCGACTACTACAGGATGCATAGGGTTAAATGCCTAGTTCCTGGTGGTGGTGCAGTGGTAACACTCACCTGCAGTTGGACCTAGATTCATATCCAAGTTGGGGAGGATTAACTAGGTGCCTGTCTTCACCCAACAATGATTGGTTACCTGATTGTTAAATGATATGAAGGTCATAGTCCAGGGAAGCTAGTAAGCTAAGGCTTACCATGAGCTATTCCTATACCCACCTGTGGAAAGGGAATGAGAAAATGGGCAATGTGAGTGTCATCCATAATAACCTAGGAACAATGTCAGAAAAGCAGTTGATGAGTATACAAAATTCACAGTTCAGCCATGAAGGTGCTAGTCTTGACCCGTCTGTGAATAGGGCAATGACATGCGAGTATGAACAAGTGCTTATGGAAAAGGCATTTTAGAACAGTACGTGGGGAAGGAGCCTTTACCACATGGGGTCAAGTGTTACAAAACCACGCAATGCAAACACAGAGGAAAGCTAGCAAGTGAGACATCCATAAAAAGGAAGGTGGCCAAAGGTAACAGACCCCACATGAGGGGTAACAGTCAAAGCACGGCATAAGCAAAAATGAGGATGTTAAAGAGATCATGGTAGTGAAGGCAGTAATGATCACAACACTCCTATAGAGACAGGATGCCCGGTTTTAACATGAGCTCTAGATAGGGGAACAAATGAAAGGCAAAAGAGCTGAGGTACAACACAGAATGATGCAGAACAGAGGGGCAGAGGAGTAGGCATGGCAGCCATAATACAATTTAGACAGCCATGAGAGAGGAGCGTGTCAATCAGCTTCTAGGAAGTACAGGACAAGACTTGAAATGAGATAAGGGCCTTAGAGCATTCAACTCGGAGGTAAGAAGCATGGAGTGACCAAGACAAATGTATAAAAAATCGGGATCAATCTCAAGATTGGAGGAGAGCGGAAGAAGGGGAGCTGGTACATGTGTTAAGGTTCAGAAACGGGTGCAGAATTAGGGAAAGTAAGAAGGGTGGGAAGAGTAGTATGATGCAACACACGAGCATAAGTAATCTTAGAGATAGAATTAAGATGGCAGACCAGGCCCCAAGCCTTGAAGATATTATATACTCATTATGCTTGAAGGCGAGGATGGCTCGTTGGAACATACAGTATATGTATACACGAAAGAAGGCAGGGTGGGCCTCACTAGTTGCATCCATATCTATGTGAGCAGATGAAGCAAAATGAAGCCATTTTGTTACCCAGGTAAATCAGTTTTTTACAGGCTTTTAGGGCTGGTTGAGGAATAGGTTTTCTTTCATTTATTTATACAAGTTAATGCAATGATAATTGGAGAAAGCCAGAAGTCTAATAAACTTGAATTGTGAGGCAAAAGAAAGGGGAAGAAATTTTGTAGAGTGGTAAAACTTTCTGGCCTAGTACTGGAAGCTCGCAAAAATAAAATTGCCATTTTCTAAACATGCAGGTAAAAAGCTTTTAGAATCCTAGGACAGAAGGCTCCAAGAGCCTGGTACATAATATAAGTCCCACTCTGGAGTATGCTGTTGTGACAGTGCTGCTTTAAGGGGTAGGGATTCACTAAGTCATAAGTGTTTAGAGGAACGAGTTGAGGCTCTTGCATGGACTAAACTATAACAAAAGGTTAAGGATGCTGACTGTTCCAGCACTGAGAAGACGATGGTAATAATCTAAGGTGCTGCTAGGGGTGTAACAAGTTTAATAATGAGGACAAGCAAATATGGATGAAAACTTGAACACACATGTCAGAGGAATGTTAATAGGAACTTTTGAGCATGTAAGAAAACAAATGGAATAGTGTAGAAGAATAAGTTTTGTGAAAAATTGTGAAAAATTAAATGTCAAGGAATGGGTTCAGAGGGAATACATTAAACCTCTGACAGGTGTGGCTTAGGAGTTCGTACTCAACCCCTACAAGCACAATTCGACAAATGTATACACACAATTTTATACCGGTATGTATATATTATATACATGTACACATCTGTAAATTATAATTTGGTATTAGTACTGTATCCTAATTTTGCAACTGCACCTTTTAATACATAGACATATCTGCTACAATATTTGTAAATGCTCCTAAAAATTTTGACTCCCATATCACAAAGCTAAAGTTTTGGCTGAGGCACTTGTTTAAGTATGACAAATATTCAAGATGCTGTATGACACTATTCAGTAGTAGATGAATCAATGTCACTGAATCAAGAAACACATACAAACCCCTCTAGTTACTTAGACTGGGAAATTATTCCTTCTCTGACTAGAAGTGTTAAATCCTTAGTTGTCTGAAAACAACCACATTTCGTGGCAAGATCGACCATTACAAACTGTGCACGATGGGAATGAATACATTTTACACCCAAGATTGTAGTAGTGAAATACATGACGTACACAGAAGTGATGGTAAATCTTGTCGCCTAATAAATACCAAATCACAACGTTCTCGGGCAATAACAAGAGCTCTGATGCCAATACCATTCTTATGAGAACTTCAAGTTTGAACTATCAAACAAGCCTTCAAACATTCAGCTGGACCCTTGCATAAAACTTAAAATAATCTCCAGAATCTTGACAATCAAATTTCCACCCTGGGAAAGGCTGGTTAGAAATTAAAAGAAAATAAACTTGCTAAGAAGAAATTAAAAAGCCAGCAGGTAATTCTTGATATAAAAAAAATTACTAAATGACCCATGGAAGGTTTTCATTACATTAAAACAACTCTTCAGTCTGTCAACATTACAAAACTAGTTTCTTTTATAAATTAAACATGGTAATATATATTTATGTACAGTACTTCACTAATGTGCTCTTCCATTTTACATGAAAAATGACTCATGTCAACTTAAATATTTCTTGGCTATAATTAATGCATTTAATTATTCCTCTATACATTATTATTATGTACAACTTATTGAAGGCTAACATCCCTAAGTTATTATTCAATAATTAAAATGTATGCCGAAATAAAAATTGGCCAAGCCGAGTCAATTCTAAGGAGTACGAAAATTAAGTGGGTCCCAATAGTATAAAATAACCCATCTCAAAATTGGCACAAAATATCTTCAAAACCATATTGGTAGCCAAGTTTCATAGTTTAAACATTTTGCTTAAGAAAATCCTTTATCACTTGGGAAATTTACCCAAGTGTTTCCCGAATGTTGATTTAGCCGTCATGCAAGGGAGGCAGTTTCCACCTACTTGCATAGTCGCTCATTTTAAAATATATACAACTAGACACGTAAGGTCAGTGTCCACAGCCAAATGTCATTCAGAATTTGTTATGCGACTCTTGGAACAAACTGCATTGCAAGCATACTTCACAAAAAACATTAAACACAAACTTTAAGGTCATGCCTTATTTACTTTGATATTGAAGAATATAAGCAGAGTTGAGATAAAAGGTGGTGAAATTAATTCCCTGAGAAAGACATGCACAGCTATGACTAATGAGAGAATTTGACACGTCAATGAGTGTGTGCACATGTAAGTGTGAAAGTCTAAATAATACCTTCATGGTAACACTTTCATCTGAATACAAATTAAGAAATTCAAATACTGTACACAAATTGAGGTCAACAAAACATTCTGGCCAAAACAATACATGTTAATGGGATTTTTTTTAATCAAATGTATTTACACATTTGTTACTTCACACACCACATTCATAAGATAAAATATAGAAAATAAAAACCTTGATTTTATCTATTGGTATCTGACAAAATGTACGAGCATCCATACACACGAGTTATAAGGAATAGAATTTACTTTTTGTAAATTATAACATCACTTTTTTCTATACAATTTACTTTAAAGCAAAGAAGTAATTTTACTTATTTCCCTCAGGGTTCTGCAATATTATTTTAATTATTGCTGCTGAAATATTTCAATATTTCTGAATAAAATTTTTCATATTAATTAAGTCATTCTGAAGATAACTTTCAATCAAGCTTGGGTCACAACATGCCAGCATATAACGTTCCACAGAGCACGCCACCAGTAATTCAATCACTAGGTTACGGTATTACCAAATAACTCCTCCTATATCGTATTTAAGTTGTCCATGTTCCCATGGCACTTTGACTAACTTCTTTACAGCCTAAGTAACCTTAACTTTACGCAGTTCTCTACTGTAACCACCCGGGATTATTAATCACATGGCACACAAGTTACTTCGCATCCCGAGATAGATCGTTTCTATTAAATTTTATCTTTAGATGTCACTAGTTTTCAATATCCACAAAATATTGATTTTATACATTTCGTAAAATGTGTTTACAATTCCTTACCATTAATATTTTGCTCAAAGAAATCTCTCACAATATGTGGCAATCACAGTACTTTCAATTACACGAGATATGTCTTGGAAGCTTACAGTAAAGATCACTGTACAATAATATACATTGTGCAAATATACTAGAAATTTTGCTGTCTCTTTCTCTTCTGGTCCATGGCATCAAGAATAGGTTGCCTTTTTGCCTGATATCGCTGACGAAGTTCGTCAATCTCTCGTTCCATTTCTTGATCCAAGGTAGCCATACGTTGGTGTAGTTCCTCGTATGTAAGGTGTTTTAGCTAAAAGTAAAAGAATTTAATTACTCCACAATTATAGAATATCTACTTATACTGTACTATGAAATTTAACTTCTTTCGACATCTACACATAAACCAGAATGTATTCTCAGCTATACAGTGATACACGATTCTAAAATTTCAAGTGAAAATGGAAACAGCATAGTAAACCATGTTTGAATCGCATGATTGTGTTCCCTGGGCCTGAAAATGTCTACATATGAATAGTGGTGTGATGAGTACAGGTGGATGCATGGGTTAGTGTAATGAAATGCATACATGATGCTATAATGTGAAGAGTAAAATTAGTTATGAATTCAATGAGCACAAACTAGTGCAATGTGGGAAGTACTGTAATTATAAAGTGCAACATGGTGTTGGTCAAGGAATTGGTGACAAAGACAGTACTGTACTTACCTATCTGTGTCCTATCTGCTCTAGGTTATGGATGAAGGTGGCTTCTACGACTTCTTAAATACATTCATGCCATGTTGTTCTATTTCCTCTAAATTTAAAGATGGTCTTCTTACTCACCTTGAATATTTCCTTCAGAATTTTGTATCCAGGAAGTCAAACCACCTACGGTATGCTTGTCTCTACAAGCTTTATGATTGTAATGGAGACAGAGCTCCATTAACCAAGCTTCATAGCTTCACCCCCTTTAATATAAGTAGTGTTGTTGTATACTCCTCGACTCCTGCATGCCACATACTACCTTTCCCAGTTCAGTCTCTTTCCAGTTATCCCAGCTTTACTACACCTTATACTAGCCTTTAGTAAGGCAGTCCTTGATACAGTATGTAAGGCAGAACTGTTGCTAGAACAGGACAGTGCTCAATGGAAAATCCAGATCCTTGTATAATGGATCCATCTAAACAGGTCAAATTTGATCAGTGAATTTTCCCTCTGAAAATCTAATTTATTTGAATAAAAGTTCTGGATTCTGGAGAACAAGGTGAAATCCAGGTAATATATTAATTATGTTCAGCGATTTCTATCAAATCCATTTTTTTAATCTTTACTTATATTTACAAATAAGTTTGAGGCATTCAAGCCTACTGGCATGAATGAAAATGAAAATACATTGATTGTTGACCAGACCACACACTAGAAAGCAAAGGGAAGATGACGTTTCGGTTCGTCCCTTCACTTTCTAGTGTGTGGTCTGGTCAACATACTTCAGTCATGTTATTGTGGCTATTGAGTATAAAGAAAAAGAACTTGTGTATGGATTTGACTAAATTAGACGTACAGTATATTGTCAAGACTCGTGTATCCCTTCTACACTTTAATGTTGCTTGAATAAACAAATACTGTATATATATAATCACTGTAAAGTACCAAGACATTATCCTAAATATACATTTTTTTTCGGTTTTAAAGAAAATAGAACTTACAAAGTCAAAATCTCCATCAATAAAGGACCTCTGGAATTTTGGTTGGTTTTCTGCTGCGACTCCCCGAGCTGGCAGAGGATGATGATTCCCTGGATTATTCATCTGTACAAGTTGTCTTTGGAGATCATTCTGAAATGTAAACATGCTCATCATGGAATATGCACATTGTGCATCCAGGGGCACACCCACAAGTTCAGTAAAGAGCGAGGGGAAATAAGTGTCTAAAGCGCACTTACAGGACCTTACTATAGATTTCCAAAAGGAATGTGCTCGACAAAAGGATGGCTCACAAGTTGGTAAAGAAGTCTTAGGGTAACTGAAAAGATGTTGTACCGGAGTACACAATATGACAAAATGGAAACAGTTATAGTGAGAGAGGCAGTGTCAGGGTGGAAGGAAGTGGCAAGTGGGATCCTGCAAGTTTGATTGTGCTGCTACTCTTCCTGACATAAGTTTTTCCCGAGGTAGGATTGTATATAGCAAAGTTTGTTGACACAAAACAAACGAGGAAGGCCAGGACTGAGGACTATGTATCACGCAAAGACACAGACAAGCTGCAGGTATGGTTATAAAAACAGCTACCTGTACTCTCATTTTAATGCCAAAAATATAAAGTAATGAGGTTTGGGAAGAGGACCGAACAATTTAGGAAAGGCAGTTATACAAATCAAAAGGAGAACGAGAGAGACTGAGAGACCGAAACTGAGACCTGGTAATGTACACACTATCATCATAACACCAGCAGCATACACATAAAACTAGCAAAAAATTAGGATGGTACATTATAAGAACAAACAAGGAATCCTTGAATCTACCATACATGTAACTTTGCCTACTCCTAGAATGTGCACAGTCCAAGCACAATTTGAACCTTGAAAAGTGCCACACATATGCCAAGCATCAAAAACTAGGTACAAGGGAACCTGGCAAAGAGAACTAAATCTAAACAGCATTGAGAAACATTAATAGCAGATAGGATGTGATAACAACATTGTTGTTTCCTGTCAGTCATAAAATTTGAGATGGTATTTTCCAAGTGTGGGACAAATGAATCAGGGAGAACAGTTGGAAGTTGGTAACAAATGAGCAAAGAAAATGGGAAAATTTTTAAGCTCTGAAAGTGAAATTTAAGTACCAGAACATCCAGTTTTCTTGATTTGCAACAAAATATAAAACTTGGGATACCAATAGTATACACAAACTGAAGCCACATTGAGCCAACCTGCAGATAGAAAATGTAGAAATTTGTGAGCCATTACTTTTCATGATACCCCTTATTTTGCATGTTGGGGAGTAGTGTACAAAATGAGATGTATTAATTGAGAGGACAGGTAGGCCAGAGATAATGGCAGCAATACAGCAGCTAGACCAAGTTACAAAGTAGCTAGTGGCCACTAGAGATAAATCACTCCTCGTAGGCACAAATGCTCTATGCAATGTACAGTAGTACTTTTTATAAACCGATACATTATATCCAATTAAAGAGTACTGCATTGTCCTATTAAAAGTCAATATTTTTATGTATGTTTAACAGTGGATTTAAAGAGCAGATTTTTCTTACTAGAAATATAACAAAAGGTGAGAGATCGGGCCATAGGGACATTGATCCCTAGAACCAACACAAGGTATGATGGTGCAGCAGAAAGGTTAAACAGGGTTACCCTTCCTGCACCCAATCATTCACATTTACTACATGCATAATTTCTATCTCAACCATCATAACTTTATTTTAGTCCACATCCACTTAACAGTTTTCTCCCACAATTTTTAACTTTAACTTTAGGATGAATGAACTACTGTATCATCCTTGTACATACAATTATACATGCCACAATTTCTCACACTAGGCCTATAAACTAGGTACCTCCTTTTCACATCAGTCATCTTAATCTAACTCCTGACCCCATATATGATGGCGTATACCATGTATTGCACACTGAAATATCACATCGCTAATAAATACCCACAGTAATATACCACTCACTCTATGCATCATTAGTTTTTACAGCTATTCAGAATTGGCATAATTCTGGATAGCTGTAGGTGGAAGAACACCTTCCCCCCAAGGTGTAATTACGGACGGTATATTAATACGGCTTATAGTACAGTATATTCAATACCTTTATTCACCTCAGTGGGGTGTTCTCAATTATCTCGATCTGTTCTCAACTGCCCCATCTGGCAATATACTGGTACTACTGTCAACACAACTCTCTTACATGGTTATTTTTCCAAAAGTAGTTCCGCTTCAACTCCACAAATGTCTCTACAACGTTCTCAAATGATTTCGTCAGTATCTTAACATTTTCCACAAAGGAATCTACCTTCTACAGCAGATAAATTTATCTAACTTCTGGTATTCTCCATTTACTATTCTGCAGGACAATTTGGCCACAGCATTCGTGCTTATTGTTTTTATCAAAATTTTGTTTAATATTTTTGACAGCCATATTTCATATGCCTTCTGGCAAAATTTTTACATGCACTCTTTCCTATTACTTTATTACATTTAATTATTTCTGTATATACAGTACCTTAACACCAGAATATACAGTACTCGCTTATTCCAGATAGATATATTGGTTGTTATACGATATTGCACTCTTCTCACGCCATCAAAGCTAATCATACAACTCACGTATTCTCTCTCTCCAAATATCCTCTGAACCACTTAATAATCACTTCATCTGTGTGTGGCATGCGCATTTATCCCTTCCTAGTTCCTTATTTCAAATCATGTTGAAAGAGACACGTGTCCTTCTCTAAATGATTATCTTTAATATTTGTATCTCCCTTTTCACCGTTACCTGGTTGATGGGGTTCTGGGAGTTCTTCTACTACCCAAGCCCGGCCCGAGGCTAGGCTTGACTTCTGAGAGTTTGGTCCACCAGGCTGTTGCTTGGAGTGGCCTGCAAGCCCACATATCCACCACAGCCCGGTTGGTCCGGCACTCCTTGGAGAAAACAATCTAGTTTCCTCTTGAAGATGTCCACGGTTGTTCCGGCAATATTTCTTATGCTCACTGGGAGGGTGTTGAACAACCGTGGACCTCTGATGTTTATACAGTGTTCTCTGATTGTGCCTATGGCACCCTTGCTCTTCACTGGTTCTATTCTGCATTTTCTTCCATATCGTTCACTTCAGTACGTTGTTATTTTACTGTGTAGATTTGGTACTTTCCCTCCAGTATCTTCCACGTGTATATTATTTGATATCTCTCTCGTCTTCTTTCTAGTGAAGCTCTATGTGCTCTTTAACTATATACAAACATTTTACCATCCTCATATTCCCATTTTCTTGCATTTCTCTCTCATTTTGTAGCCATAAAATTTACATTCTTTGCATCAACGAATAAAGAATAATAACCTTACCCACATATAAAAAAGGGATGACATTTTGGGAACAGTTCAGGATGGACTGAAACAATTTTCCTTTCAAATGTGTGTTAGGTTATTGATTTTCCAGCCACTTTATTATGGCTTATTCTCTGCATACAATAAATACCGTTTTTTTATCCACAAGTATAAATGTAGTTGGGTGTATACATGATCATAATTCCCTGCATGTGTCAAGCAGCAGCAAAAAAATAATTCTATTGCCGGCATTGACACTACACCTAAATTTGTAAAGAAAATAGTGTATTTTTCTCATTCTTTGTAAGTGATAGAACATTATATGCATAGGGGAAGTATTCAATATATAGTATAACAAAATTTGGCAAAGATTGCAGCTGCCCCTTAATTTGTTAAAGCTTTAAGGACACATTAACCAATACACATGCTAATTTAGTTACGATATGTCAAGTAGTCACAAGTTGCACAAAGTAACAGGAATGCATGGAAAAAGGAAAGATGAAAGCTATGGTAACAACATGCTTGCAAGTTAGGAAAAAATGGCAAGCGCACACAAGTGAAAACGTAATATAATACGTCTGACAAAAATAAGAAAAGAGTGGGAAACATTCAAAGACAATATGGTGTACAAAACAGAGCTGAGTCCCAAGTGGCAATATTGTGTAAGTGTATCCATAGACCCATCAATGAAAGTAGGGGTGCCCATTATTATGCCTGCGTAGGGGTGCCCATTTGACTTCCCTCATGGTAGCACCACTATACGTAACAAAGGTCAACTAATTTAGTACCTCTATAAATGACAAATTTAAAATACAAAGATTTTACTCACATGATTTTCCTCTATATCTGAGTGCTGCACAGACAGAGAGCAGTAACACATGTTAACAATACATACATTTGATATGAATTATTTAAAGAAACTTCAAATATTTTAGCCTGTGCTGAAAGGCTACTGTTAATTTGAAGTCTTTCTATACACATTAAACAGACAATAATATGTGCTGTACCATGATGCATTTAATGTGTGTGTACTTCATCTGTATCATGTTGTTTATAGTTTACTATACATAAGGAATTAAGCAAAATGGGCAATAAAATTATAGATAAGAAAACAGTGAATAACAAACATAAGAATTACAAAGCTTAGAAAAATTTTGGAAGAAAACTAGGAAATTGTGTTATTGTTTAAGATGTTTTCATATTAAGCCATGTTCTCTGAATTATTACCATCATGGGGATATCCCAGGTCACAAGCTACTGAGAAATGTTCATAAACTGGTGATCTCGGCAAGAACAGGCCCAGGGTTCGTGAAAGAGTTACACAACTGGTTCATATAAACACCAACATACTACCAAATAAATAATATATATATATATATATATATATATATATATATATATATATATATATATATATATATATATATATATATATATATATATATATAAATCTTTCAAATGAAAACCATTACCTTCAAACAGATTTAGATCTAGTGAATAATAGTGACAGGACTCTACCTAGACCAAAAAAAAAAATTCTAAAACTCATACACCCCGTTTACAAAAAGATGTGACTCCTACAGGAATTAAATTAGTTAGGATAGACAAGAGAGTGAGGGGGAGGCCAAGTTGGCTAATTAAGGGGGTGGCCCAGTAAAAGGTGGGGAAGATGGGGGGGAGGGGCCCCAGAGTAGAGGGTAGATGGTGTGACTGGACAGTAACAACTTTACTTCACTACTCCTGCACTGACCTTTTCTAACTGAACACACAAAAAACATTTGCAATTAGGAACCTTCACTTTGTCATCATTAGTATTTTAAGTTTCAATTCACTAAATTGACTTTTTAAAAATCTTGTGCAGGAATTATGCACAACAAAATCTCAAGGTAGTACCATGTGCCTGAGGAGTTAAGGGCTGAAAGTTAGATTCAAACATATGGCTTCAATAGTTATTAATGGGAATTATAATGCAAAATGGCCTCTATGGCCTTTTAATTTATCAATTTCAATAGCAATATTTTCAAGTTTCAAGTAAATACAATGAAACTTTCTCATGATGACTTAAAACCTCAGGAGAAAATGACAAAACTGTAAGTATCCTTCCTATGAGTAACCGAGACAGGAACAACATTCAACAAAACATTAATCCAACATGAGGTCATCCAATTACTGTACCAAGTATGACGATAAAATGGAAACACACTGCCAATTTAACCAAATGATCAATACTAAAAATAATATCACTATTTTTAAATGTCAAGCTGTCTCAACCCTTGTGCTGCAGAAAGCATTTCTGGAAGCCAGGAGACCTTATGCCAGATTTTACGGAAAGCAACATGAATCCAACGACTTTGGTAACAAATTACATGTCGTATATTTTCACTACGATGTGCTGGAAGGAAAAACTAAAATTTGTAGCTGGAAACTTGAACTTTTTACTGCTGACAAGGAATGTATTAATAGGGACAGGGAAAAATTAACTGCATGCAGTAGGTAAAAATTTTTTTTAGGAACATAAACCCCCTATTCTCACAGTGATTCAAGATTTGTATTACTAAAAGGTACTGTACTGAACATTACATTTTTGTTTGTGACATGCATATATTTTAAGCACTTTATATTGAAATATGACCAAAAACAAAAGTATTTTACTAAAATTTACCCAATTACTCTTATAATTACATTATTGCAGATATTTTCCTGCAATGTTAAATGCCCTTCTAATGCTTTGCATGTCCCTTTCTCTGAAGCTATGGGTCCCCCTTTCCAACCAGAGGTACCTACCTATTTATTTTTATATACTGTATTTAAGCATATTATTTAATGTACCATTATTTATGATTTAGTAATTCAGTCCATTCTCTTGATTTGCTATATTGTACAAAATGGTAACCCTAAAGAAATGTATTAACCCCAGCCTCCCACCTAAGATAATCTAACCAAATGAAGCACAAAGTGTGGATATTTGTGAACTGCTACTCTTCATACTACTGTACTGTACTTTGTAATAGGGACCATAATGTACAAACTGAGATGTGCTAATTGAGAGGACAGGTGGAATGATTAATGAGTAAGAAATAAAGAGCATGCTCATTTGTTATTAGAAATGGATACAAAAGAGAATGTTCAAAGCGTTATGGCGTCAGTAGTTAACGTATGAAATGCATTAGGCAGTGATGTGGTGGAGGCAGACTCTATACACAGCTTCAAATGAAGATATGATAGAGCCCAGTAGGCTCGGGAATCTTTACACCAGTTGATTGACAATTGAGAGGCGGGATTAAAGAGCCAGAGCTCAACCTCCCGCAAGCACAACTAGGCGAGTACACATAAACTTCAGGGCCAATTATAATTTCTAATTATACATATACATAAATTTTGTTCATGAATATACTGTACCTTGAAAAGGCTAGTAAAGAACCCCACTAAAAACACTCATTCCAAAGAAGATTTGATAAATTTTAAATTAAGGATTCTTCAAAGTGAAAATTTCCTTATGAAAAAGGAATGTAAAAAATTAGAGAGAGAAGACAGTAATATATTCAGCCCAAATATATATTTACAATAAACAAAACTGGGCGATTATTTAAAAATAAACAATTACCTCAAATTTTCTTCGCTCCTCTGCAGACATGGGCTTGGGCTGAGATTGTATTAAGGCTGTAGGAGAATAGATCATTGTGTTATCCGATTCATCCTGTTTCTCATAGTCCTGATTTCTCAGTTGTACCTGCTGTGGTTGCTGCTGGAGAAGCACTTGCTGTTGCTGCAGGCTGGATTGTGCCTGCTGCTGCTGCAAATTCTGCTGCTGTTGTAATATATGTTTGTCATCCAACAACTGAAATAAGGAAAAAGGAAGAAAATTAAGCCATTATGACTATATATAGCACTTGATAAGGATTTTGGATAGGGCAGAGGATACTGTAGTAATGATGCACAACCACTCGGACGAACGGTCAGGAAATGAACACAGACCTGCAGGAAGCATGTAAATCTGCATGTATATAAAGTTCTACCGATATGTAAATGTTTCTGGTCATTGAAAGGGTAACAGCCCAAGATGACCAATACAGTTTTTGTAAATTAGTGCTGAGGGCACTAATGGTGGAAGGGGGGGGGGGGGCATGCAACTGCCTCAGCTCTGCCTCTGCTAGTAACATGCAGATAGTGTTCAATATATATTTGTTATACCCATAATCTATCTATCCATGTTATTTTATCACAAGTAAAGTAACTGATTAAACACAGTTCTTTGTAATGAAAATAACTAAAATCTAAATAAAAAGAAATTTACACCTGTGTTGGTGCCCTAAAAGGGATCAAAGACAGATTTATCAAGTTATTCCACTCGTTTTGACATCCTCCAACCAGCATTGACCCAAATACAGTACATGAATTTAGCCTATTTTTGCTAATCAAGACTACTAATCTTATCACATTTATAAATCAATTCAATCTAAAAGACATACCCGAGTTGATTGTGAAGTAGGATGTTGCTGTGTGATAATTGGTCGACCAGTTCCAACATACTGCTGAGATGTCACTTGATTCATTGCTGAACTATCCTTCAAGCCTTTACTTCTTGCCTGTTCAATGTAAACAGTTGAAACATAAGACCTTGAAATGTAAATATAAACTATTAACAACTTTTGTGCCTATAAAATATGAATCATTTATTGTACTGTATTAATAAAAAATTTTTACCTTCTTTTCCTGTTCTTTCTTGTCAAAATAATCGAGGAAGAGGGGCCGATCCAGTCTTTCTCCCGGTGCAGTGTCATGTCCTGTGGAAAAAGTAAAATTATTCAGCAAATAGTTAGGAATTTTTTTTTTGCAACATATCTAGCAATAATGATAGGAAAATCTGTTATTCACATGCAGTATATCAAACATCAAAATTTGTATAACATGGGAAGAAAAAAAAACACACTTTGGTAATAAAATGGGAAATAATATTAAAAAGCCAAATTTCTTAACAATAATGTTGTGAGACTTAATGTTTTATTAATGGGGAGTTGGCCTAGCAAGGATTGCAAAATGGCATTTTAACATGTAGGGATGTAACAGCAGCCGTTATAGACACCTCTGTAGTCAACAGGTAGCCGAAAGCATTTTTTTTTTTTTTAAATATAACTTTTCTGTATTTTGAGAAATGGGTATTATTCTGAATGGTATTGCATGTTAATTTTGACAACAAAGTCAGTGTAGTGAATTATTAAGCATTTTGTTGTTGGGGATTGGGGTTACTGCTGCAGAATAAATTTATGGGAAATGTTTTTAAATTTTAGTGATAAATTAACTACGGTATTGAATAGGTAATGTTTTATGCATGCCACCAATAATGGTGGGTTTCTGTATGATACACAACACATCACATCATTACATTGTCTCCAACTTTCATGGGGCAGCGAGGCATCGGCCCAAAGAACAAACGTAAAGAACATTGTAAAAATTTAAGAGATATCAATTGCAACATATTGCATCGAGGATAAACAAATACTGCCACACTCCAGCAGTCATCAGTAGCAGCACCCTTCCACTTCATAAAACAAGATGTTCAGTACCTACTGTAACTTGTCATATTAAATATAAATCCTTAGTCTTGACTCTTGCCATTTCCTGTGTGCTGTCCACACACTTCCCGTGGCCTTGCACTTAACACCCAGATCTATGGACTAAACAGACTAATGGAATGTATACTATGCCATTTGTCAAATGCTAAACAAACCCACAGTTTTAATGTACTTACTATTTGTACCTGCAGAATTGAGCTATTAGATCTTGGACATCACCTTTCTAACCAATCTATTTTTCCTCTATTTTTCAACTATATATATTTCTATAAATAATTGAACAGTGTCTAAATCATTGGACAGTTTTAATGTCCAATGGTTAGGAATACCTAATGGAGAGGAATCTATTCAACAGTCACACTGCTACATGTATACCTATAAGCAGCATACATATAAAATTATACATTCAAACCAAATAAATAATGACACCTGGATATTCAGGTTATACTTTACATCCATCAGGCTCCATCATAGTGGTAAGGTATTATTAATGGTTATCTTTCACTAACTAAAATATAATTCTTACTTTTCATGGTGGAATCCTCGTCATCCTCGTCATGCTCATTATCCGAGTTTATGACCATAGTGCCAAGATCTGCACTTAGAGTTCCTGTACCAACTGGTGCTTTAAGAGTTCCACCAGAACCCAAGGGAGCCATCAAAGTGCCTTCATTATTCAGTGACTTAAGAGTGCCACTATCTCCACCACTATACCGAACCATAGTACTGCTGTCCATTTCGTCTTCATCCTGAGCAAGATAATTTTTTTTTAATTACAATCTGTTGTGAAAGGAGGTTTTCATTCATCTAATTTTAAGTTATATATTTCAGCTTGCCAATTATTCAAAATGTACATTCAAAGCACCACGAGTTAATCAAAATTTTGGTAGTGATTACCATCCCACTTGATCCATGATTACCATCCCAATCTTCGCCCAACTACAAGCATATCAATGTCCAACACATGTATGTTGCCACGCAAAACAAATGTGAATTACTATTGATAGAAGTATCAATAGGAATTGATAAGAAAGGAAACTCGGCTGATATACAGCATGATGAAACTAGCAGCTTTTTAGCAGATTTTATCCAATACAGTATAAAAGTAGATCCAGACAAATGCAAATTGGTCACACCAACTCTCAACTGAAAATGACATTTCATAATAACCAAATCTCCTATCTTTTCTACTTGCTGGTTTTGGAAAACTATGTTCCCATGACCTGGGCTCTCACCAGACCTCCTGGTTAATTACATACTTGTATCCAGCACTACAGTCCTAACTGGTCAACATCATTAGCAGAAAGTAAATTAAGCATACCTGGAGAGGGTTCTCGGAGTAGTTCTACTCCGCGAGCCCAGCCTAAGGCTAGGCTCGACTTGTGACAGGTGGAAGCAGGTGGAAGTAATGCCCAGGGCACACATGCCAGCCAGGCATCAAATAGGGTCCTTTGTTATGATTTCATAATGTCAAGAACAGAAAGCCTATCAAGCTTACCGAGGTCCCTTAGGTCTAGGCCAACAACTGATATTACCCAGGAAGCAACCCACAACAGGTGCCTAACTCAGAGGCATCCATTTTCTGCTAGGCCAATGTCACATGAAAGGAAATATCCCCATGCAATAATTATGAAGCCTAAAATCAACATCTCACTATACTGCTCAATAATAAACAAACACCTTTCACTACTTTGTCATACCATTTCCTTTCAAAATTCACCACACACACTGTGTGTATTATCGGCCAACTCTTACAATTTGTAATTAACATTATGAACTTCATTTACCCAGTCCTGGTACAATTCCTTCCTTCACAATGTGGGGAGTTCACATACACTATTTTTGTTTAAAAAATGCAGGTTACTATCAAGCATGTTTACTGAAAAAAAGCATTACCCCTTGCTATAATTTTCATTGCCTTAAAGAGGATGTTTAGTGCCACAAAGCTTATTTGTGTACAAGATGCATGCAATTTTTAGTAGATTAAATAAAAAAAATTGTATACCATACATAATGAAGTTAAATTCAACTTTCCCCTTTAACAACAATAATATACTTTAGGATCTGCATGCAAAATCAACCCTTATACACAAACACACATGCAAACAAACTCATTATCAATCTCTCCTATTAGCATAATCATTGACCCAACTCAATAACCTTGGGAGATTTTACCTTTTAAAAATTAAAACTATGGCTGATTACACATGCAAATGCAACATGAAACATGAAGAGCTCAACAGCACCAAACCAAGCAAGGCTTTCCATATAGTAATTTGTTAGTAGACTAAAAAACACCAACATACAATTGACAAATTCTCCGAGGAGCTCTTGTACATGTTGACTAAAGCTGGCTGATAAAAATTGACAAATTTAATCAGAAATTACCGTTCGGGAGGAATTTTGGCAGCTATACTGTACGGACAACATAAATCAGTGTGAAACGAAACTTCACAAAGCACCTCCATGCTGCATTTGTCACGAAAATACTTACCTGAAGTTCAGTATTAGCAAGGTTGTGATGATGGGTTTGATTGTGTTGATTGTTTTTGTTATCCTGCTCGGCTTGCATGTTCAATCTTGGCAACTGTAGTAGGGGCACTTGTTGCTGTGAGGAGTGAGGGACATTGGGGGCATATTATTACAACCCTATACAACCACCCCCTCCCCCTCACAGGAGCACTTTCAACAATGGGACAACCAACTTTGTAAATGTAAATTTCTCAAAACATTCGCAACTTGTGAACAAAATATCTATTACACAGCAAGTCCTTTTCAATTGCTTTTAATTAATAAAAATAATCGAGTGCTTTTTAATTAAAGCAAAGATTATAAAAAATGTATGCTCATATAAAATTAATCCAGTTGGCACAATATTGAAGAGCAGCATTGGTTCACCACAATCAATGTCATCAACGTTAATTCAATGGTATCAACATATTGATATGCAGTTATTGATATGGTGTTTATATGCTATTGCTCTAATATTGTGGTCACTGGGCATGTGATTAGTAAATTTAAAAATTCAGTTAGTTCACCAGGAGAAAGCAGTCACAAACTGTGTGTGTCTGCAAGATAATACTATCAAAGAACAGTCATAATGAAACCCCAGACCCTCAAGTCCTCCTCTTTATGTCCATAACATTTCAAGATTGCCTCTTAAGACATTGTATTCAGATGTATTTTTCTACATTTCATTAAGGGTAGCTTAAAGCAGATTTGTTTTCCAATCAATTCATTTAAAAAAAGTTATCATGTACTTGCAATGAATAATATCCATTATTTTGAGTACAGCAGCACATTATACAGCTGCATAATTATGTTAAAACAAAAGCCTGAAAAAAAACTGAAAAGAAAAAAAAAAGTTCCTAAAACCAATGCTATTATCTGGGTCATGATGGGAATAAGTACACACAAGCAAGTAAGCCAAGTAAAAAGGAACTAGAGAACGTCTTACAAACGCGTTGAGAAATACTAACAAACCAAGAAGTCTGCGAAACTTGTTGCATTTCAAGTCGATTTCAAATGATGGAAATTAATTCAAGATGTCTTATATTTTTTAATCGTAATGATTCTACGAGTATCAACAACACCGATGTACCATATATTTTTACTAGTTTTAATTTTACTAATAATCTATGATACAGGCAAGCTTCTATTTAAAATAACTAGAGCACTTTCCTTACACTTGCCACATACACGAACACGAACTCAAAGTGAAGGAAACTCCAATGCTGTCGTTAAGGTTAGAAGATTGAACTTCAAGTAAATTCCATAGAAGCAAAATGTTGATATTAAACATAATTTTCTTTGTTCTTTAATGTCATGGTACTATAAACTCTAAATGTTTTTGTAAGTTGATGTTTTCATCCAATTCATCAAACTTGTGTAAACTGTTGAGCAGAAGTACTATTATAATTCAGTTTGCATTATTACTCAGTTCCCAAATGACCCATGCAATGTTATTCTTCAATAAAATAAAATTTTACCATCAATCCCTGTTAATAAATTCTACAATACTATATCTAGATAAATTATTCTGTTAATTTCAAACTCCTCCACCATATAGAAAGCAGCATTAACAAATACATAACTGATGTTGGTACATTCAATTTTGTATATACTGTATAACCAAAGTGTGTACACCAGCCAGGCCATCAGAATACACATACCACACTTTTTTTTTTTAATGTTACCAACAAAAAAGCCACAAAAATATACTTAACCTTTTTACCAGCTGTCCAGCACCTGATATTGACTAGCTTAAATAAGTTTAAAAAAAAAAAAAAAAAAAAATGAAATCACTGCAAATTGTATTGTCAAATTTATGTGCATGAAAGTGAAAGATAACAGGTGTAATGACCATCTGAAATCAGACGATTCCTTGCAATCACTACAATAGAACCTGCTGCTGTACCTGTAATACCTGTAATTAGCTGAATCAATCTTTTAATTTTAACTGTGGGAGGAGGCTGTTATTGTGAGTGTGTGAATGTGAGTGTTTGAACAAGCACGGTAGTCAGAAATGAAAATAATCTTCCAAAATATCAATGTCATATCGCAAGATTTTTCAGGCTAAAATCAACTACAGTACTCAAATTCACCGAACATTAAAGTAATAACATCCAAGCAACTAACTGTGCCTTGTAAAAATTTCCAGTGTCAATGGTCTTCATTTCTAATAAATACTGTCACACTTTTTTTTAAATACCATGAGGGGGCTAAATGTTATTTGTTCCATGTGAACTTTTAATAATTTGAATGAGTCATTGTTATAACCATGAACAATGACTCCTATATTATAATGAATAATGGAACAGACTCCAAAAACTGACAAAAGACCTACAACAGGGGTCCCAATCTGTCCCAGTAGTACAGTTGGGTTCGATCCCGACTCACAATCGAGAATTCTGGGTTTGCATCCCGGGAGGATTACAAATGGTTGGGTGCATTTCCTATCACCTAATGTCCCTGTTCACTTAACAGTAAGTAGGTACTCAAGAGTTAGTCAGCTTCTTGTGGGTTTGCATCCTGGATGGGGTCATTAATTCGACCTGGATGGGGGGGGGGTGCCGTTGATATATGGCTAACGTGTATGAATACACTCTGGCTGCCTGCTCCCTGATAATGAATTATTATTATTATTATTACAAATTTCTCAGAGCTTCAAACCTGGCATTAACTAAACCACACGACTCCAAAACACAATAGAATGACTACAAAGCTTATATATATATGAATAATATATTATGTTTCACTCCACAATGAAAGAATTAACCAAAAATAATGACCACTTAATAAGATTCTTGTGAAGATACAAATCAGAAATAAATAGTCTTCATAATATATTAAACAAAATGCAAACCCCCCCCAAGGTGCTACTAGGCTCCTTATCAGTATAGCATAATTTTATTTTGACCACAAGGTTTGCTGTATACCAAAGAGGAAGCAATTTACTTTCAACATTCTTAAACTATCACTCCAAAATAATAAAAATATGTAGACAATTTACTAGTGACAAACTTTTTTGGACTATACAATTTTGAACAGCCACAATTACATGGTGTAATGGCATTTATACCAAATTTGGAGCAAAACTGCAAATTCCCTACCATACAGAGAAATGAAGAGCATGACACTGGATAAAATTAGTACAGGAAATGACCACCAAGGCGCCACACCGTCCTAAACCAGCAGAAGCCATGGTAATATACCAGTGTTCAAATATGAAGCAAAAGGGATAAAACAAAATTATGTATGACAATTCTCAAAACAAAGCTCTGGTATAGGCAAAGCTATAAAGGCAAACCCTTGCTGGCAAGAACAACAATGTAGACTTTAAATGTATTTGAAAAGTCTGTTTCCAATATACCAGTACAGTAGTACTAAAACAAAAAAAAAACAAGTTGCAGAAAGCTAGTGCATCCTCAAAAATATAAAATTGTGCAGAAAAATGTACAGTATTCACAAGCACACCATAGCCTTTCATACGAATATAGTATTATGAACTCCATAAAACACATTCTCCTGAAATACTTACAGATTCTGTTATATTCTTAATTTGCGTTTGTCTATTTGAGTTTTGACTTTCCCGAATCTCCATAGCCTCTTCTAGCATGTTCCGAAGTATACTTGAAGGCTGCGCACCTCGGATGAACTGATTCTGAAGCAATTCTGAAGCTGTCGCTCTTTCCTCAGGGTTTTTCACTAAACATCTATGAAAGGTAATTAACATTTTATGTTCAATGCAATATTTGTTTCAAGAACATTTTAATAGACCTATCAAATTTTACTACCTATCCAGATTTTTAGCATGTTCCTCCTCACCCCCTCCCCACTTTCCCAATCTCTAGGTTCCCTCCCACCTCTTAAAAGCCTATATACAACCCCTTCCTACTGCTCGATACCTTGCCTTTTGTGACCTTCCTCAGTTTCAATTATTTACCCAATAGACTACTTAAGATCTCCTTTCCTCTTCTCAGCTTCCCCTCAAGTTAATGCCTTCTCTTAGTTTCTCCTCCAATTCTCTCTGGCCCCCTAACAACTACTCTTCCCCTCTTCTCAGTCTTTGCTTCTCCACTCCTACACACCTCTACTCTCTGTTTTGGATTCTCCACTACACAGCTCTCCCCTCCTCTTTTGTCTTGGCTTCTCCACTGCTACACTCACTCCCTCTGTCTCAACTTCATTATGACTCTTGGTCCTAGTTCCCAACTTGGTTAATAGAACATGATGCAGATGTGCTAACACTATTGGCATAATTCATACATAATGCCAAAAATACTTTATTGTACACATGAATCTCTAGACTTCCACTAATTGTGGTGTTTCAAATTTTAACAGCACCGCTTCCATGTTTTTACCTGGAGACAAAGTCAATAAACTCCGGTTGCCACTGGTCTGGTTCTCGGAAAGATGGTGGGGGTTTGGTAGGGATCATAAATATGGCACGCATGGGATGAATGTCTCCATATGGGGGCTTACCCTCTGCCATTTCTAATGCTGTTATACCTGAAGAAAAATTTTAGAATATCAGCATTTATTGTTGCTAATTATTGAACTAAGGAAAAAACATTATTGGATGAACACCATGTAATATTAAAATGATGATAAAGCTTCAAAGGGCCAAGTAACAGTTAAAAAAAGATTCTGCAAAAGTTTTAACTCTTCAATGCTACTCTGAACTTTGTGCAAGACCAATTATTCAACCCACTCTTGCAGAATATGCTACTTTTACAAAAATGACCAATCCATTAACATTTGAATATAGTGAAAATGAAAGCATCATAACATTTATGAATTAGTCTCAATAGGTTAAGCAGATCACTTTGATTCATATGTTTATGATAGAGGAAAATAGTATTATTTTTTACGGATTTGAAAATACAGAGAATGGGCCAAATTATTTCATACATTTTTATGGCAAATTTTACCTAAACTCCATATATCTGCTACACAGTCATAACCTATTTCCTGAATCACTTCGGGGGCCATCCAGAAAGGAGTGCCTATCACAGTGTTTCTTTTGGCCATCGTGTCCTGAAAAGAAGCACATTTTAGAATGGCTTATTTTAAATAAAAGTTCTACATTAGAATAATTGTAGTCTAAAATGCTGCCTTTCTGCTGCTCATTGGCACAACACTGAGTTTAACATCCTTAACCTAATATTCAGTGACTGAAAAGTTGATAAAATTAGTTTATACACAAATAGATAAGCCCACCCTTAAATATGACTGATGAAGCACAGGTAAATGACCTTTGGTGCATCTCAAGCCCTGCCAAGAATAACATGACAGTGCCTGGCAGTTACCACCAAAATTATTTGTGGGTGGCATCATTTGCTTTTCATAACCTTCCTTAGGACTTTGAGTGTTAAAACCTTATGAATAGAATTTATGACTGAATTCAGTGTGTATTACAATTTTTATTTTTTACTCTTGAATTATTCTAAATAATGAAATACAAAAAATTCTTAAGAAAAACAACTCTTTAATAAAGTAGGATAAATAGGATTAGTTGCAGTATATGGGCAATGGAAGTGCAGTATCACCCTATTGAGGTAGAGGGCAATGGCCTAACCTGTCCTCTCATATACATAATATTTTGACGTAAAGATCCCCTACATCAAAATGTGATGTAATGTACTGTACTACAAATCATTGCAGCTCGCCAAGATGATGGGCGGTTATATTTTCTATTCCTGGGTCCATCAGTTATGTTAGGGCACATAATTTTTTGTGATGTGACAATTGAAGAAGATGGGCTGAATGGCTAACACACAGCCTAACTGGACACAATGTTGCATCATGTGGTGACCTGCACTATAATCTCTACCATACTACCCAGGCAATCTACTCCACTTAGTCAAGTACAGTACTGTATAGTATTTACGTCACTTGTGAATTATTTATATCTATTTCCTCCCATTTAAATATCACTTGCAGCTTCTTTTTGAGGCACCATCACTGTCTGGCATTGATGCCATCAAATATACATACGAATACACTGATTGACACTATGAAAAATGTTGGTTTTTCTTAGGTAATGCATATTAGCTTAAATTTTTCAATATCTTCATGGTCTAAGCAGTATGATGTATATGACAAGCAACCACAAATGAACGGGCTTTTCTTTAAGTGTACATGAATTTTATCAATAAAATTCCTAACAATCTGCCTTAGTTTCTTTTGACAATGTTCAGTATTTGCATAAACTTCTTTGTATTTATATATGGTTATCATAAACAAAAACATTAGGAGAAAAGTATACAGTACTTACAGACAGCTGACCTGCCACACCAAAGTCGGCTAATTTAGCATGACCTTGAGTGTTGAGCAAGATATTCCCGGCTTTTATATCCCTGTGTATTTTCCGCCTGAGGTGTAGGTACTCTAGACCACGTAAAGTATCATATATAACTGTTGCTATTTCTTCTTCTGTCAGTGTTTTCTTTCGTAACCTCATAATGTCCGATACCGAACCAGCACCGCAGTACTCCATGACAATCTGAAAATTAAAAATGGTTAAAGCCAAATTAAATATTTTTTTGTGTCAGTACAATATCAAATTTGTAATTATTAAAAATAAAATGTACTGTAACAGTACAGTACTGCTCAGTATGCATGTTAGCGATGTGTATCAGGAAACATACGGGGACAATACACATGCATGTACAGTACTTATCTTTCGTAGTAGGAAGGGAGTATACATCACAAATAAACTGATGACAGATTGAACCCTTAATACTGTACAGTACTGGTATTATTACTTATAGACAATAAGCATGTTAATACAAACATTTTAACAATCTTAGTTCAGCATATCTTACCCAGGGTCCCGTGGAACCCCAAGGTAACTATGGGTTCTGCAAGAGAGTGATATATACACTAATTCTAATCATGTGCATATATATATTTGTCATTTTTGTTTTTAATTTTTCTCATTTAACTAGTATCAAGAGCAAAGACAGAAATCATCATCTTTCAGTTGACAATGAAAACTTTGTGTGTATAATTATAGCCTGGAATTATTTCAAGGGTATGAAGGTTGAGATACACTGGTCTAGTTGATATGGTCATCACACAAGAAGCCTGGTCAGAGCAACTTACCCACAGGTCTGAATCTTTGAAATAGGAACCGTAGTATTTGACAACATGATGAGAGTCGCACTGCTGCATAATGGATATTTCTTTTATTATCTCTTGTAGATCTGTGTCAATGGGTACCTGCTTAATGGCCAGAACCTGACCTGATTCTTTATGTAATGCCTTGTATACACTGCCATAGGATCTGAAAACAAAAAATTACAACTTTAAAATGATGAAGAATTGAATGTTAATTTTCTTTAAATGTTCACAAACCTTGCAATGCATAAATAAGCCATGGCAAAACTGTATAAAATACTATAGTGTGTAATGAGCAAAAATAAATATATTCTTACTCATTACTTTAGAGAAACTACTTAGTAAATACAGTACATTCAAATGCTGAACACACTTGCAAGCAAACACTGGGCAACAATACAGTAACTACTACAAAGATGCAATAAAAATAAACAAGTCAAACCCATTACAAGTTATTTAATAATTTTTTCTATAGATTAACTTAATGTTAAAAAATTATGAAGATTCAGGGCAAATATTAATGAAAAAATCTACTAAAAATGAACTAAAGTTTAATATAAACTGTCGTGACGCTGTACCTTGTTAATACGTACTGTACTGTATTACACTCCCTGTATTTCAGATTTCTCAAAATATTACTTTCTTGAATGGTCAACATTAGCGCCTGCCACAGCTAGCTTACTGGTTGTTGAGTGGTTAACTATCTATATCTACTTCTTTCAAAGCTTCTGTCTATTAGCATATTTATGGACTAACATCTTTCATTTCTTGTTATCGGCAAGAGTTGTGGGCTAAATGCAGGTACTGTATGCTGAAGTCTTTGACCTGCATAAGTTGTAAAATGTTCCAAATGTATCTACCTTAGTTTTAAACCATTAGATATGGCAAGCAGTTGATGACCCATACACATATCAACATTTAGCAACACTAAACAAACACTCTGAGGCGAATTGGTGTACTCCATTTCCTAGACTTCTTCCACCTGCTTACAAGATGCAGAACAAAAATATTAGCAAGTGGAAATAAAATTCTAAATATGAATCTGCCAGAGAAGCAAACATAACCAGGCATCAACTGCAAATAGTGTACAAACAACAATTGCAATGCCAAGTCTGTAAACATAAGAGGATTACTCACCCCTCGCCCAATTTACAGATGATATCGAAGACTTCTTCGGGTTGTCGCATGAGCGACTCTTCGCTCAGCTTCACTAGCTCCCTGAAACACAATATAAATTAACACACTGCAATACTCTACCACTTGCATGCACACTTTGAAGTATTTTACACAACCCCTAATGATTCACTCTACTTACATTATGATAAATACATGGATAGAGAGTAGATAATAGCACCAATTATGTAGTTGTTCTCAATTAATTTCTGTGAATATTCGCTCCCCAAAAAATGTTATAAAAGTCTATGGACTCGGCACTGAATATTTCACATTCACCCACTTCATGAAGAAGCTCGCAATGCACCTTCTCTTTTTATGTTGAGGTTATCTTGAGATGATTTTGGGGCTTAGTGTCCCCGCAGCCTGGTCCTCGACCAGGCCTCCTTTTTGTTACATACCCCCAGGAAGCAGCCCGTAGCAGCTGTAACTTCCAGGTACCTATTTACTGCTAGGTGAACAGAGCCATCAGGGTGAACAAAACGCTGCCCATTTGTTTCCGTCTCCACTGGCGACCGAACCCGGAACCTCAGGACTACGAATCCCGAGCGCCTGTCCACTCAGCTGTCAGGCCCCAAGACCTTAATCATTCTCTGTGGTTGAATGCTTAATAACACTAGTTTCTATGGTAGTCATCTTACTCTGTCAAAGTAGGCAAGACCTGAATGTGTGTGTGTGTGTGTGTGTGTGTGTGTGTGTGTGTGTGTGTGTGTGTGTGTGTGTGTGTGTGTGTGTGTGTGTTTATGAATATAAGCTGGTTAGAATTGCATTTCACCTTTCACATTAATCACATTCTGTGGTTGAGTACTCAATAACCAATTGTACTATGTATAAGATCACGAACCCTGTTTATGTAGGACAGATGTAAATATATGTATCGTATGTATGTTGGTTAGCATTACAAATGCACTACAATCACCTTCCGTGGTTGAGTGTTCAATACCCCATTCCCCAATACGTAGAACATATATCTATCTATCTTCCCGCCAAACACACACCGAAACTACGACGTTGGTACAACGTTCGAACAAGTTTTAACACCTAACCAGTTATAACCAGTATAGGAAGTTGTAACAACGTTCTAATATGTCATAAACACGTTAAGCCAAGATGTAACAACTTTATAACAAGTTGTAACAAGCGGAAAATAGAGACAGTTTCGGTTTGTGTTTCCAGGGTTCCCTGTCCACGGAGGAGAGAAGAAAATGCATATATATGTTGTTTAAAATCTTAAAATATATGCATAGTCTGCTGTAGAAAAAAAAAACTAAAAATAAGAAATAAAATTAATATTCTTCTTGCTCTCGTAGTCTCTCAACCCCCCCCCCCCTTTTACTCTCGCCTCCCTCCCTCACTCCCCCCATTACCCTTTTCCAGCTGGATCTCCCCGTCCCTTCTGTCACCCCCATCTCGTTCCCCTCTCCCGTTACCAACAACCCCTCCAGCCACACAACAACACGCCTCTCTCTACCCCACATTTCATTACAGACATGTCATGTTCATTTGGCAATAAGGAATATCAAATTCGTAACGTTATAACACGACGCCACAGCCACGGACGGTCATGTAACACTCACGCCTGTGAAAGTGATCTGGCATTAGCTCTGCATGTGGTCATGGACCAACTTCTCTCAACACATGTGCGTGTGCGCGCATTCCCTTTTTGGAGTTGCCGCGAGTTGGTTGATCAATGTCCCCCCTCAGCCCGGCCTCCTTGTTGATGGTACTTTATTGACCTAGTCAACCAGGTTACAGATGTACGGAGTTCCCCCGGCTTAATAAACATTTACATTTATATGCACGCAACTTTACGGCACAAGATCCTCTAGACATCCGATGTTTCCAACATAGGATGGAAACGATGTACGGATATAGGTACACGATGCAAACAAGTTCCAAGTAGCACGGGCTATGGTGAGCCCGTATATTTTTTACCTCCCCATTTATTCTCCTAGTTTTCTGTTAAGACACTCAGAATTTTAAGATGAAGTTTTCAAGTTCAGTTTGCTATATACAGTTTTAAATATCAGGAATTTCTTTTTCAGTTTTATTAAACAATAGAGATTTTACACAAAATTTGAAAATTTAGTTTTGTTTTATTAGTTGTATAAAACTAATATCAATATAGCTATAGGTTAAGTACTAATTGTAATTAAGAAGCAATAAAATGCTTATCTTCAAACTCTAAGAAGGTTAGGTTGTGGTTTTCTACTCAGCTTCGCAGGTAAACTCAAATATTCACAATATATTTAACAGTACGGTTTAATACTAAGTGAAAATAAGTACAATTCCTGACTGCTATGAAAAGTACATAATTGCACTTACTTGTGCTGTTACATTTACCTCCCCATTTTTGGAGGACGGGTTGCCCTAATAGACACGTCTACAGTCACGACACAAGAAACAATAAACAAACAAATGTGATTGTGCACACCATTAACACTTACCCATTTTCATTCTGTTCTTCACTGTGCTTCGTGTGCGGCTCACTGAAAAGAGAAGAAATTATTAATTAAAGACAAAAATACATGTAAAAGTAAAATTTAAAAATAAGGCTTACTTATTTCGCCTTTGATGACTTCTTGCCGACACCTTAATATATTCAGTGCCTTATTCATCCTGCTAGAGACAACAACAACATGCTGTAGCCTCTTGTGAAACTGCTGTCATAAGGTGTAAGAAGTGTTATTTTCAACGCACATATCTTTTATAACTCTCTACAGACGGCCATGTGAAAATGGACGGAATCACCGAAACGAGTCGAGAGGTAATTTGATGGGCGACGAATGTTTTGTTTAGACCTGAGTGCTGTTTGCGACACCTTGGCGGGAATCTCCCACCAATCAGCGCCACCGACCCCACGTGACCGAAGCGAGGTCAACCTGGGTCATCAAGGAGGCAGTCTCTGTTCGTTTTCAATAGTGAATATACACAGTAAGAGTCTCGCTTCGCCTGTCGTAGAGCTTTGGTCAACCTGCAAGAACCGCGTCCAGCCGGACACAGCGGGTGCTGTTAAAAGGTGAGGGTCTGCCACTTTAATACAGTGGCAGAACTGTTAGTCATGTTATGCCACCTATTAGGAGTGAGGACGGGTTGGTATGACAATTCAACGTCAGCTCTATATCCCCCCTGCAAAAAAAGTCACATCAGGTGAATAAATTAACCTGGAGAGAGCAGGTAGCATATACAAGGCTCCCGGTCAGCCACCCGAGTGTGTGAGAGAAGGGGTGGTGAGGGGAGAGCACACAGACAACACTAATCCTTCTATCTCCCCTTCAAGTGAGGGCCTTGCACCCACAACACTGCTCAACATTCGCCCCCCCCCCCCCCGCTCCTTCTACAAGGAACTGCAACACCCTCTCCTCTCCTCGCCGCCGCCACCACCACCACCACCACCCATCATCCTATTGCGAGTTGATCTCTCGCCTACATAATATTCTCTTGAGTACATAAATCTCAAGAGTTAATCTCCGAGTTGGAGATTAACTCGGAAATTGGTTCTTCCATAAGTTTAAACAGTCAGGGAGAAACATTCCTCGTTAAATTGGCTATAGGCCTAGCTGATTAACAAGCAACTAAAACCAATGAAAGTATATTCAGGGTTATGATAATGAATAATACATCGAGGCAAAACGTTTGTGCCATATAACCTAAACAAATTACAGTATTCATGTAATCCTTGTGCTAGGCTTATAATCTCAGCTTGGTTCCCGGCAGACAAAACTGGGCATTCGACTCTTGTAACCCATCATGGCCGCAGGGATTATACAAAGAGGAACACTGCTTGTCTCCTATCCGCAAGGAGGACACATTTACCGTTGCTACCAACAAGTACAGGCGAACACAGCGCCTGCTCCCTACACAACTTCCCTCACCAATCCAAAGACTAAACATTTTATCTAAATTCCTAACGATACCACGACTAAATAAATACATAATAATGTATTAATCTAGTGCAAGAAAATACTACTGCATTCCTAGCAATTGTTAAAGGAACTACCCGATTTTAAGTCATGCGAGACGAGTTTACTAGTGTTAACTGTGCCTTATTCCATGTGACAATTTGAAAAATTTTAATGAAGCTTGACAGTAGCTTTAAGACGGTGGTGGACTTGTGTTGAGTGATGACAACAGCTAGGCTTGCATGTGTTATCACAGGAAGCGTTATCACCCAACCTGTCCTCTCCAATAATACACCGCATTTGGACGTCAAAATTCCCCAACGGACAAAATGAGGGACTATAAATCACTGCGGCTCAATCACTTTTTCTATGCGTGGGTCCGTCAGTTAGAAAATTATGTACTAAATTGCCCGAATCTGTCAGTTGTGACAGGACAGTCTGTATATCACCAGCCTCGGTATACAGAGCTTGTGAACCTCTTAAATTTGCACACATATATCAGTTTGCTCATTTCAGTGTCGTTTACCTTTAAATACATTAGCCATGTTTAAAACGGTAACCATGTTTAAAACAGTAGTTATCAGTTTACCCAAAGGTAAGCAAGCAAACACACCCCATTCGTGATACACAAAAGCATAATGAAAATGATTGTACTCCATGTGAGCCAAAATATCCACACACTATATGCAATAACGCGTGGGGAACAAGACAATAAAGCTAGACAAGAGTATATGCTAAATAGGCACAAAGAGGCACATGTTAAACCTACCCGGAGTGGGAGAGTCCGTTGACTACAGGGGATGAGAGGGGCCGCGGCCGGCGCCTCTTGCTGTTAGGCTTGCAGGTGTTGCAGTGGATGGTGGGTGTGATACCCGGGTATAACAACTTCTCGCGGAACTCCAGGCTCTCCATCATGGCTGATATTCATCACACGCCTTCCTTAGTAACAACTGGGTATGAACGCTCGTGCCTAGCTCACGTGTAGCCAGTGTGGCGCCATAATGCCCGCATACACTTCACCAAAAACCCGCCCTCTTCGAAACGGGAATTAATTAATTGAACATTTCATTTCTTCTCACTTTTAAAACACTAGTGGCATAGACAGCAGATTCCACTTGCACCTCTGCTTTAATACACCTGGAGTTGACAGAATTCTTTATACAACTCTTCGATTGAGAATTTCCAAATAAATTTATCAAATTTGCTTAATGTTTCTTTTCTCGTTCTTTACTTCAATTTATGCGCAATCTTAAAACACAAAAATAAATGTTTAATATAGAAATTTTCAATTATAAAGTACTCGTATTTGTTTACATCGCAGGTTGTAATTACATTTGCACTTAAGATACATTACAAAAAGGTATGTGGCCGGAATATCTCTGGATACGTTAACATGTATATCGAGCACCCCACCACCCTGTACTTTACGATGTTAAATATTCTAAAACCTTTTTTTGCCATTCCGTATAAAATCCAACCTAACCTAACCAGAAAACGATGAACCCAAGCAACCCACCTAACCTATTTAGTCCGATGCACAGGAATCGCTGATATTTGCGAGCCGTTACTTTTCATAGTAGTTGCATATATTACCATAACGTAAAATAACACTATCTGTAAATATCTGATCCAGGTTTAATAATATTTGAATTCACTTGTCATTACAATATCGGACTTATTTTGGGTTAATCACTAGTTTTCCTTCATGAAGAGCCTGATACTTTTGTATTTAGCCTACCAGTGTTAGGAAAGAATATGGTGGTGTTAAATACACTGAACTATCAAGAGTGGTGGTTTCATAAGAGCTCCCGTCTTCCCCTCCTCAACTGAACATGGCCTCGCCCACCACCCTACAGAGATCCCTTAATGCCACCTCACCGCACGTTCCATCCCTCCCACTCACACCACAACCATCCCCATGCCATCCTCGCCAGTCCTACTAACACAACCACTAACGTCTCTGCACACCACAATTACCTTACTCGTTCTTAACATTCTAAATAGCATTTTTAATCCATTTGGTACAACACCGGTCATCTGCTTACCCCTCCCCAGCATTCCTCACACTAGGGTTTAACCCAATTAGGCCTAAGCCTATGCCATCAGACATTTCAGACAAGAGAGGGAAGAGACAAGGTGGACAATGCTTCATTTCTTCACAATAGACTGTCAATGGTGGTAGTTCCCGTTTCTACCCCAAAAAAACTTGATACCCTAAACGTTTGAACAGGTTGAATGCGCTTCAAGAAGTCGTGGAAGCCACCTACATCTATAACTTCTTGGTAAGCTACAAAACAGAACTGGAACGTCAGGAAAGTTAAAATGAAACGCGACACAAACAAAAAATGCTAGTAGGCGGGTTATAGGCCTCGCTTCATGCACCATGAAGTGTACGCGCGCGGAGATGTAAGAATCACTTAATGCAAATAAAATCTAAAGAGTAATTTTGTTGGCGCATACATAGCCTTCCCAGTTTGGTGCCTTCTTTTGATAATTGCTTTGTTGGCGCATGGTAAAACTCTACCTTAAAAAGTACCTGGATGGGGGTTCTGGGAGCTCTACTGCTCCCTTAGCCCCGTCCGAGGTGTGGCTAGACTTGTGAGAACTTGGTCCAACAGGCTCTTGTTTGGCTCAGCCAGCAGGCCCACATATCTACTACAACCCGGTTAGCCCAGCACTTCTTGCAGAAAACTATTCAATTTTTTCTTAGACTTCCATTTTTGTCTGGGAAAGACAAAACTTAGTTCGCCCCGTAGGCATCAAAAGTTGTGCTATCGAAATGGATTGAGGAGCTTTCAATATGACGATATACAGATGTATTGTGGGCAAAAGGATTCACAAATTGGTATGTGAATAACTGTAGGCCTATGAGATAGTTCTTCTGTTGTTACTAAGGAATATCTGTAACTGACATAGGTTATGTTGTGTAATGTTAGGTAACCTACATCGGTTGAAAGAAATTGAATTGGGGTAAGAGTGAATTTTCTGTTCCCTTAGCATTAGGCATACTACTTACTCCCTCATTCTCACCAGACGGTCTAGACAGGATGCACACCCGCGCTGTGTGTATATATTAGAAGGCCTGGCTTTTGTTATGGTCCACGGTATTCTGTTTAACACAGCCCCAGACAAGCCACGCGCCAAGCAGCCCCAGACAACAAGCCACGCGAGTCAAAACGTACTTTAGACAATTTTAACCAGGCGGAACACCCCGGGAATAACAGCCAGCCAAGACGGTAAACTATGTTCACCGACACTTAAAACACCGCGGTATTCTTTGTTGACCTAAACCACGCTACTTTAAACACATTCAACCCACTTCCCAAGACTTCTTTAAAATCAAGAAATATGCGTCCCAGGCTTCTAAGATTTAAAGATTTACACAGCCGTGGTTCCATTCTCACTAGCCACATTTACTCCAAGGAGAGTCAAGGAGCCAGTCTGGTTACTTGCAACAAGACAACCTTCCTCGTTACATTCCCACCTTGGTAACAAAATATGGTAAAAATCGATAATGGTTAGCAAAAACCTAAAAATTAGATTTCACATTTTTACCTGTTTAATGCCAAAAAATGCAAGTATGTGTTTTCACAACAATTACGTTAATTTTATGTATATAAATGAAAATTGTGTAGGCATAAAACAGCTATAAACCACTTGAAACATCGAAACGTGCAATAAAAACCTATTGCCAAATTATGTGGTAAAAGCAACCAATCAAGAATAGCTGGAGTGTTTCAAGCGTAGGCTAGACATAAGAATGAGTTTGGGTGGATAAAAATAGGAGCTGCCTTGTATTCTGGAATCTCGGATATTGCACAGTATATTTATTTTATTCTGGGTTTTCCAGTATTATTGTGCATCTAGTATGAAGGGTGTGGCGTCACGCTAACAAATACACAACGGACGCAACACTTCACATACACAGACGCAATAAAGCACCTAAGTTATTGGGATCGTCTCAAAGCTCTCTAAATGTATTCTCTAGAAAGGAGACGAGAGATAAAATAATATACAAAGGGAAGATACTGGAGGGCCAGGTCCCAAATCTACACAGTAAAATAACAACATACTAGAGTGAACGATATGGAAGAAAATGCATAATAGAACCAGTGAAGAGCAGAGGTGCCATAGGCATAGAGAACACTGTACAAACACCAGAGGTCCACGGTTGTTCAGTATCCTCCCAGAGAGCATAAGAAATATTTCAGGAACAGCCGTGGACATCTTCAAGAGAAAAGTAGATAATTTTCTCCAAGGAGTGCCGAACCAACCGGGCTGTAGTGGTTGTGGGCCGCTCCAAGCAACAGGTTAGTGGACCAAACTCTCAAGTCAGGGTAGTAGTATGACTGCCAGAAGCAGGCATGGCCTGACGACATTGCACCTGTAGCCTCTTCAGCTGTACACATCCCCCGTACCATCAGGCCAGAGCCGGCAGGCGGGTGTTTGAGTGAGACACCATCAAAGTGCTATACGCGAAGAGGGTGACAGCAGGGATGAAGAAGGGTTGAGCCGAGGTAGCAGTGCTTCAGTTAAGGGGAAGAGGAGGGAAGAGGGGAAGAGGCGGAGGGACGAGATCAAGGGGAAGAATGGGGGTGGGGGGGGTGACAGCAGGGATGAGTGAGGGCGGAGGCGGGGTGGCACCAGTTCAGTTTCATGTTGCCGATATATTCCTGGCACTGACTCAAACACTGCTCACCCAGAGTGTTTAAACTGCCTTACCTAAGACGAACCATCAACATACTCCTCTTCCACCTTCTACACATGGTTCATGAGAGGCGTCTTTGTCATGCACATGACAAGGACTATCTTCACAGTCTGGATGCCACTCATTTGGAAAGACGCCGCATTGGAATACACAACTAATATATTAGATGGACTGGTTCCAAATCTACACACAAATAATTCCTTATGGAGACTAGGGAGTATGGCAGAACATGTCAAATAACCAAAATGAAAAGTAGGGGTGAACTAGGTACACTAGAAGACAATTCTACTTAATAATATACATGAGTGAGTGGATATCAATAACTGCCGCCTCTTATGAACCAAGAGGCCTTCTGCAATTTCCTTATTTCGTATGTTTTTAATCATTCTTAAAGGCGAATTATTTTTCAACGCTCTCTGTGTCTGCCTGACTGATAATAATGGTCAGTAGCCGCTTTATTTCGACGTTAAAGGAACCAAACTGCTTTCCGACTACTGGGGCGACAAACACATTATCACAAGACAAGCCTGTTTCCAGGGCGAGCTTGTGGCGTACAAGAACGCCCAGAGCCCACCCCAGGTAAACTCCTGGTATACCACCCACACACACACACACACACACACACACACACACACACACACACACACACACACACCCACCAACCTTTTAACCGAGGACTGAGAACCTCTCTTGCTCTACAGTAGTGGTGAACCCCCCTCTCCCATCCCTGGTCTCCGTTGGAGCCCCGCTGTCTGCTAGTGTAGTCCGTGACGTACGCACCTCTCGGATTACTGTCTTCTGCCCGACAGGCTACCACCACACTTGCGTGTTTAAGTACTCACAGACCACCACGCCCCACCCTCACCCCCACCCAACTACTTATCTTCATGCATACACTTTAATTTTATTCCGAAGAGCGAGTTTATTAGGTAGTGTTACAACTCCTGTGAGTGAACATAACAATTATAATATCCCTTAATAGGAATTTTTTATTTTGTCACTTGTTAACAGACGTAACTGGGACTGTCTAAAATGTCTGGATTGAGCACTGTCAAAGGCATTATAATCTACCTGTATTCTCTTACTTCCTGGCTGTATTATCGACCAAGATGGGTATGTACTACAGCATCTTGTGGCTTCTTTTTATCCCGTCTCGTATATTTGCTGGCAACGTTGTGTTCACGAGTTTCACATAAATATACTCTTACTATATACTTATAAATCAACAAAATTATTAACCACGTATGTTTTTACTAATATATATTGGTTATTAATGTTTCAGTTGTTTCTCATGGTCCTGTTTGTTATATTCACACATCTGTTTGCCGTAGCACAGGTGTTACTTGTTCTACAACCGCTCACAGTGTTGTCATCCACTTTGACACTACACTTGACCTAATACCTCCCACTAACTACTGACATACCACAAACCTACAGTCAGAGGCGAGCGTTAAAATAAAACCAGACATAAGAACAAATGAAAAGTTAGAAGGCCCAGTGGCCCATGTGAGGCAGCTCCTATTTATATCCACCCAAACTC